CCGGCTCACTGTGTTACGGGCTTAATTGGATATGAAAGAAATGCTAGTGGATACCCTTTGGATTACCTCAGGACTGTTGTCAGGTAAGTCAAGGTTTGTTTAAATACTAGAAGCGAACACGGATAATTAAATGTAAATAAGAATGGATCTTTCTCTCCTGCTTATCATAGACTCGAACCATGTTTGTCGATGAGAACTCGCGAGGACTAAACATAACTTTCATTAGTTTGTCGTTTACAGGACATTAGCTCAGTTTGCAATTGATTCCGAAGTACTACTGAAATCTTACGGGTAGTACCTTATGTCGACTGTACGTCAATTTACTCTCTTTTCCTAATGATACGTGAAAAGAAAGTTGTTGCTATAGTTAAGTTTTTACCGCAATTGTGGGTCCTCGAAGATGTGAAAAAAAGCTACACAGAAACACGGAAACAAGAAAGAAAACATAAATGCCCTTCTCTCCTTTCCTGGCTTTTGCTAGTTCTCCTTGCATAGCCAGAATCATATGGAATAAGGTCAAACTTGTACTACTTATCTGAAAACAACAGCTTTTTTTTTCAAAGATCTTGATGAAAGAAGTGTTTAATATTCAATGCAGTGCTCAGGTTTAAGGTCTAATAATCCACCAGTTATAACCATTTCATGTCAAGCGGGTGGATCAAGAAGAAAATGTGTTAAAAATTATTTCTTGCTGGTTGTTTGAAAACCTTTATGAATATTGCTAAATACACCTTTGCCGTCGAGAAGAAAAAGTCGGAACAAAAACCTAAGGTGAGAAAAAAAGTCGAGAAAGGGAAAATTGCCGAGCACGAGATTTGCATCGAACTATTCGGGCTTCGTATAATAACGATAAAAATTAAGAGTGCAATCATTGTTTCTTTTCTTTTTTCCTCCTTCTTTCTCCTCGCTCTTGCTATTTATCCTTTTCTTTTCCTTTGTTATAGTGTTTTTTCGATCTTATTGAACGAAGAAAACCCGCCTTTGGCCCTTTTCCACTAAAATGGCTGCAAAAATATCACTTTCAAAAATCTTGCTAGATTTTTATACAAGTTAAAGTTATATACAGTACTTTTCAAGGTGCGCGAATAATTTAACATAGTGCGCTACTCCCACTTATGCAATGCCATTCGGGATTTAAGCTGTTCGTTATCGACTCAGGCCCGAGGATCCCCAGCACGGCGGAACTTGTTTACGATGAAAAGTGTCTGTCGTCCTTACCCAGATGTGGTCACCTTCGACTTCGCTGGATATGGAGCGCTATAAAAACGGCTCTTACACCACAGTCAAGAAAAAAAAATTATGCATCTGGTTCTGCGCTCAGAACTTATGAGAAGCCGTAGGCCCAGTCCCCGAAAAGCCTGTCGCCTTCACCGCGATCAAAAGAGAGAAATTTTCTATAGCTAACCAAAGTCTTTCAAAGCTAAGGTTTTTATTATTTTTTTTTTTCAAAGTTAAATTTTTACCAACGCCTTGTTAATTTACAAAACGTTATTACTGAAACTGGTGTTACTGTTTCGATACTCTGTTGAAACTCGGGCGCAAAGCGTTTTTAAGGAATAAAAGCATATTTTTTTGGATAAAATTATGGTTACACTTATATAACTTACTCGTTTTTCATGTATCCTTGCCTGCATGGTACCACTGAATGGTAAATGGATGTCACTAATTCTAGCTTGTAAAAAAATGTCAACGTTTGGCCCCGTTGGACCCGTAGCTCCCAGTCGCGCTAATCCTGATTAATAGCGAAAAATGAGGGATAAACCAGAGAAGCCTGAAGAGCTTTGCAGCAGTTCTGTGGTGTTCACTGTGTTAGTTCTGTGCATTGTAAATAGGATGGTAGGTTTTACGTTTTAAGGTTTTCAAATTTAACGCGAATTTTTCTTGTCTGGAAACATGTATTAAACTGGAGCTTATAAAACTATTATGTTGAGCCTTAACTCCGAAATTCAATACCCCTAACAATCTTTAAGACGGAGAATAGTACAAAAGTGGATAAACTCATTGTGATAATCCTGAAATAGTGTAATATCTTACCTGTCTTACAGTGGAAAGGGAGATCCTCGCTTAATTCTCTTCAGTCGGGAGTTTGCGACTCAAGGAGACGATTTAAATTTAGGCTGGATCTCGATCCTTTCTTCGGCGTTGAGAGATCTGGGCACGATAATAATTCTATTCTTTCTTTTTTAGTTATTTGTGTTCGCTGTTCACTGGGTGGCGTGTTAGTAAAACGAGGAGGATTTGGGAAGCACAAACCACAGGTCTGGTCTGGCCCAAACCCATGCTACGATAAAAATGGAGTTATGAAATTCGTAAGTTTAGTAAGAAACAAAATGAAGTATTACTTAGTAAGTTTGGGGTCAAGTGTAACCTTTTCTGCAAGGTAAAAAAATAAGTTTTAAGTTTTTGACTTTACGTCCTGGAGAGTAAGTTTTTCAGTAAATCAAGATTCATAGACAGAAAAACGTTTACCACCATCTAAGTCCTTTCTTTAATTCGCAGTAGCGGGTTAAAGTTGGCCTTTTCTTGGCGTACAGGTTAGGGTCAGGGTTATGAACTCTTGGAATAGCCTGTGTCAAAATTATGCTGTAAAAAGTTTGTAACAAACACGACTGCAAAACAGCCCGTATTTTTTTCCCAGGTCAAGAACGCGCGAGCGGTCAAACGAATAGCCTGCGAGCGGAGACGTATTTTCGGTCGTCGCTTCTCTCCACCTGAAAGGTAAGGTGAACGGAAGTGACGACCGAAAATGTGTCTGCGTTCGCAGGCTATCAAACGAAAGGTCTGGATTTAGGTCTGGAGTCAGGGTGAAAACGGATAGTAAGACTGGAGAGAGACGCGAAAAATACGTGTGTGTGTGAGACTCATGCGTTTCGCGCGATGTCACGCCGGCGCCTTCGCAATATTGATTTTGAAAAAAACAAAACAAAACAAAACAAAAAAACCCGACTGTTTCGCCGACTAAAAACGAAATCAAATGTTCCCTTTCCTATAAACTGCCGTTCTGGACTTCAGATTTCCTTTCCTTTATACCCCACTTGGGTTTCCGTGGTCGCGTTTTCTTGTTTCAGTGCTTGATGGATTTCTAAAGTCAGAGCACACATCTCGTTTCTGATCTCTCCACTATAGCCTCCACCAAAGGATCCCCCTTGGTTCACAGACGACATGTGTCATATGAGCATTTGTGCTGATGCCTTCGTTCTAACCAAGTCTTTGTGCATGATGAAAGGAGCATCATGTTCAGAGGTAAGTCGGCCTCTTTTTGATCTCTTTGTTTTCGCCATTCTTATTGGCTCATCAGATGCAGTTAGTCTTTTGATAGGTTGAACTGTGAAACATTCGTTCTTTTCCTTACATCGCGGAACGCAGAGCGTGAATTTTCATAGCCTGTGAACAGGCTCTCTGTTTGGGGAAAGGGTAAAAAAATCGCGAGGAGAGGCTCCTCGCGATTTTTTCACCCTTTCCCCAAACAGAGAGTCTGTTCACAGGCTAGGATTTTCACACTTGACCCTTGTCCTTTGAAACTTAATAATAATGGAATTTTTGTTGATTTTTCTTAAAATCAGGGCCAGTATTTAGCAGTGGTCCCAAATCCGTCCTCTCCAGCTGACTGCTGTGTGTGTAAACCATGTGAGTAAAACAAACAAACAAACATCAAAAGCAACTATAACCAACAACAAGAGAGATTCTCTCTTGCCAAAAAGGCGTAACCACGGTACCGATAAACGATGTCCTGGGTACCAGGGCATTTTTCAGTTTGGCACGCGGCGAGATGTTTCGAGGTCGGCGGCATGCTGACATATCTTCGATGAGAGGGCACGAGCCTAGTCTACCAATTCAACACCGCTGGGGACGTTTCGCTGTGAAATGCCACTAATGGCGGGAAGTGAGGAGAGAGGGCTGTATTCGCGGGCTAACAAGAGCCTTGAGCGGCGGTCACTATCAACACTAGGGAACTTAAGATAGAGACGTTTTCGGGGCGACGGCAACTTCAACCGGATGTGACATCATCATTTGTTGGATATTGCGCATGCTCGTGCTCACCACCTTGCCGGCGTGGTAAGCCGGCGTGGTCCCGTCGGCGACGTGAAACTGGTCTGTTTGGCGTTGTGGCGAGAACGTGAGTATTTAACTTTCAATTCAATCAGGTTTGTTGCGTTTAGCAACCAACATTTTGCAGATTATCGTTCTTAAATTGTCCTTGTTTTCTTTGAGGTACATTTCAAGCTCGATTTCCAAGCTTTGTTATCTAAACTTACATCTTTGAATGTTTCTATGTTTTCATGTCACAGGGTCAAGATCCAACTTGGCAAACAGCCAACCGTAAGAGAACTTGACATGGGACAAAATTTTCCCACGAGCCAAATAAAAGTATCCAGACAAAAAATATGAACTCCGATATTTCAGTTGTGTGTTTTTAGTTCGCTCTTTTCGTTAGAATATCGTATAAATGAAACGCATTGAAAATTATATAGAATAGTAGGTAATTATGTACTAACTCGGCGTGGGAATACTGAAATAAAGTTGTTGCCGTTGTTGTTGTTGTTGCATGCAAGTATTTCCCGGGAATTATTTCAATACCAAACTAAGAATACGGTTCCTTGGTAGCATTTTAATGTTCCTGTAATTTGCAAGGCTTCGGCAAGCCTGTGGAGATCATTTTTTTTCAACACGAAATTCTGCCTTGAACTCAGCTGCATACCGCATGTTTTTTAGCGTGAACGGATCGTAACTGACCCGAGGAAAATCGGGATTTTTGGACTCATAATTTTCCAACAAAACGAGAAACTCTTCATCCGATACATGTTGTCTGCATAGCAAATATTTATTCTCTTAATTCTTTATGTGAAGCCATATTTTCCTCTTCGGTATTCTTCTAATTAAAGGCGCCGTCCTTCTGAGTTCACTGCGATCTTAATGTTCTATTTTTGACGGGGAGCGACGGCTGCCTTAGTTCCAGGCTTTCTCTGCCAGTCCGGTCGCCGTCGCCCCGAAAACGTCTC